CACTGGCTGCTCTTCTCTTTGTCTGCTAGGAGGCAGGTCCTTTGAAGAAAGGGTTGGCTGGTCCAGGAAGCAGTTCTCCCCTCACACCAGTCGCTGCCAGTCACTGGTTTCATTCACAAACCCTCAAAAGTTGCAATCATCACAGTCAAATGTTCAACAAACTGTATTCCGATAGTTCGCCTATATCCTCCATTGTGCAGAACAGCTGGTTGCTCATTGAGGTTCTCATACTGCTTTGCCCATTCACTGTTTCAACATCTCCCCATCAGCTTGTTTGCCGCATTTTTTGAATGTGTAGCACACAAACCATTTGTTTCACAGTGAGGTGATCAAAAGAGAAGCTCATTTTGACAAAAAAAAAACCCCCTTACCCTAAAAAGCAGGCATTTTGAGCAAGATAAGTCTGAATGTTGATTGCAGGTGCTTGCAAAGGCCTCAGCATCCCTGATTACTGCTGAAGTATCTGAGCATAGCTAGACAGCTAACAGTGAAGCTGTGTGCTAAACTTGCAGAAGGATGGGGCTAAGATGAAGTGTGCCCTTATCTGAACAAAAAATACCACTGGAATGGCTGGCAGATGGGGTGGATGGCTCTTGGATCTTGCCAGCCAAAGTAATGGCCACTAACAAAATAGATTTAAATGGCTGATGAAAAAGAGGGATGTCATTCAAGGATCTGAAAGGGCTCCCTAGCTAGTGCCTGAAAGACAGGTTGCTAGTTCATCCTATTTTACATTCAGGTTGGTAGCCGTGTTGGCCTAAAACAATAGACCAAAGTTTGAGTCAAGTGGCACCTTTAAGACCAACAAAGTTAAATTCTGGGTATAAACTTTCGTGTGCATGCATCTGAAGAAGTGTGCACGGACGCGAAAGCTCATACCTAAAATTAAACCTTGTTGGCTTTAAATGTGCCACTGGACTCAGACTTTGGTCTGTTTTACATTCAGATATTCCCCATTTCATTCCCATTTCCTCTTCTTCATGTGCTTTGTTGTAGAACGGGGTTTCCCCCCTGTCAATTCTTTTTATGTCCTTCTGTAATCACTTCCCTAGTGCTGTTGATTATTTGGTAACATTGCAAGATAATCCAGTTTACTTTGAATAAATATTTTTGCTGGGTGAAGGAAGATTGCAATTTTGTCATCATCTTGGTAGGTCAGGATTAAATAGATTTTGTACCTGAACTAATGATGCTTCCAGGTCAGTGCTGCAAAACAAGTGATGAGGAAGAATCCTATTTTAGCCAAAGTAGTGGAAGAGTTATGTAATTCACAGCACACAAAAAATGCTGTTGGTCTCCTTATCACCTCATCATATTTAACATTATTTTTAATGGATTGTTATGTTTGAAGGGGCACATGTGGGATTCCCAACTGGTTGCCCAATCAAGAGTTGGGCCCAGCCTAGACTTGCTTAGATTCAGAATTTCTTAGAAGACCTACAAACGAAATTGGTATCAGGAGACCGGCTCTTTTGTTTATGAGACCACAGCATAATATTTCAGATATATTCTTTGACAGATGAATACGTAATGCAGAAGAGATTGAAGAAAGGTGGGCAGGGAGAACAGAGGTCTTAATTATGAACAATTAGAGGAAGGTTGTCACTGCAGGGAGTTCAAACGATCCACCTAGTTACGACGTGTTCATGCCGCACATAACCCATTAGGTGCTCTTTGGACATAGATCAAACCCATTTTTTAAAAAGTGAATTCTAGATCTGTTTCTCAATTAGGACGTTTCCATCTCCCTACAGTTGCCACAAAGTGTAATATGTATTCACCTCCCATCCTCACAGTTGCTCAATCTAGCCTGTAGCAATTTAGCTGTACCACCTATGTTTCCAATATGAAGCTTTATTCATTTTATCTTTTCCAGGTTATTCCATGCATTCTGATCCCCTGCCTTCTTTTGCGCACCCTCCTCTTGTCACCATTCAGCAAGATATTTGTAGCACATCATGTCTAGGCATAATTGTCTGTCTGTCTGTCTGTCTGTCTGTCTGTCTGTCATCTATCTATCTATCTATCTATCTATCATCTATCTATCTATCTATCTATCTGTCCTTTTAGTTGTAGTTTGTCGTTCCTCTAGCATTGCAAACCGCGATCAAACTGTGCTTTGCTGTTCTGGTTTGGAGGGGAATTGGAAGCCATAGTTTGCCAGCTGTAGATAAACCTGAGCCTGAGTGTTTGGATAAGCTGTGAGTGTTTGGAGTGAGCTGTGGGTAAGCTGTGAGTGTTTTCAAGGCAAGAAACGTTCAGAAGTGGTTTGCCAATGCCTGTTTCTGTGTAGCAACATGACTAAGTTCTCATTATGTACAAACTGGGGCTCACCCTGCTTAGTGTCTGAGATCTGACTAGATGAGCCTAGCCTGGGCCGGCCAGGTCAGGCCTGTCCAGGTGTGACTGGCATTGCTACACAGAAAGAAGAGTGGTTTGGAGTGGTTTACCTTTTGTGCCTGGCTTCCTTTGTCATGATTGTAATGCTACCAAAACGCCTTTTCAAGGATTTCAATGGGCCCCAGTTCCTGTTCTTCAGACAAAAAGTTCTGTTGTCTAAAGGACCTCTCATACAACTGCCTTGAAGTACTTGAGCATAAAATGGAAAGGGAGCTTCAGCTTTTCAAAATGTCATGTGTTAATGATGTATTCATTAGGAGCAGCCCATGTGATGTTGCTGTTTCTTCTGACCGCTTTGGTAGATCTGGGAACCATCTGCCTGCTTTAAAATGCCCTCCAGCGCCCACTCTTTCATTCCTCAAACCGCCAGTCTTCGTGTTAGGAATAATGAATAGCCTCCGAGTCCTAAGATATGTAGAATACATATGTGGAAATAAACATCGTGAACCATGTAGCACCTTTAATTTGCAAAGGGCTTTATGCTCTGTCCTGGGGTCATCCTTTGAGATACTATGGGGGGGGGCAAGGTGAGAGAAAGGGGTGAATGGGGAAACCACTAAACTCCAGAGGGAGACTCACTGGTGGGATGGGAGCCTTTATTAGCCAAAGAACCTAGAGGGTTAACCCAGGCTCTGGAGCAGGGGAAAGCTAACAAGCAGCCAGGCAGTCAGGCAGACCAAGGCTGGCAAGGAATCCTGGGTGGGACGAGGAGCCCACCCCTCTGGGAGGATGGGGCGTGGCTATCGAAGAGGGCAGACTCAACCTGTGGGCAGAGCAAGCAGAGGCATGCCATGAGGTGGAGAGGAGGCCAAGCAGGCTGTTACGCTTCTGGCTCAAAGACACTCTCTGTAATGTGAATCCTTCTGTGAATTAAAAACTGCTTCTGCTGCACCTGTTTCTGGTTATTTGCAGCAAAGAACACTGGTGAGAGTATAAGCCAATATCCACCCCCGTCAGCCTTTTTACGTCCCTCACCACTCACTGATATACTGTGACTATCCCCATTGTACGGATAGGGAACTGAGGCAGTGAGGCAAGCCACACACCTGTATGGCACAGGTGTGGGTTTGGATCCAGCTCTCCCAGATTCAGGCCCCAGTTCTTTGTCTGCCCCTTCAGCAGCAAGGGCTTGAATGTGAGGCAGTTGGTAAAAAAGAGAGCAAAGTAATCTGACTTCCTTGGGAAATCATGCATTCCCCCCTTTTTGGTGGATGCAGCCCCGGGCTGGCCTCCGTCATTCCTGATCTGACTTGGCCCTTCCTTTCCTCTGCAGAACATGGGAGAGGCTATGGGGTTGCGCTGGGGTCCGTGCAGCTGCGGCTATAGTGGAGCAGGGTGCAGATGCCTTAGAAACCAGGTACAGGCCATTGGGAAAACCCTCCACTGCTTTTTCCAAGCAAGGCAAGCCCAGTTGTCTCACGATTGTATGTGCTGCCCCTGCTTCTGTGCTTTTTAAAGCTAAGATAAATAGCACCAGAGGTGATTCCAAGGTACAGGAATGAGTAATTTACTCCCCCCCCCTCCAATATTTTTCACATCCTAGATTTCAGACACAGCATATTAAGAACCTATAGGACGGATGAAATGTTTGTACATCTCCATCTGATAAAGTATGTCTATCGACATCATTTCTCTCCTCATGATGATAGTCTCCAGCACATCTTCACTACTCCCAACCTAATTTTTCTAGAGTTGGCCCTTTGATGTCAGGCAGAGTCACTGCTGTCCTCTCAGAACTAATAATGATGAGAAGCACAGGATGAAGCCGGAGGAAAGGCAGGCCCCCTTTCTCGGAGGAGTTTGCAATCAGAATTTGACAGTGAAGGGAGAAAACAGGCAGGGGGAGGAACGGGAGAGCAAGTGTAGTGAGCGGGGTGGAGCGAAAGTAAGTATAGTTGAGATCACGGCAGTCCTGTTTCCCCAGGCTGAAAAGAGCATCCCAGTGTTATCCCGGCTGCCTCATCTGCTTTAAACTAAGCGGAAGATTATAATGACCCTGGAATGGAAATCGTAACTTCTTCCAAATGGCCCTTAGTAGTCAGTCAGCTGCCTACTTAAAGCCTGCCCGCCCAGCTCTTTTGCCACAGGGGGAGTAGCTAAACCAATGATAACTGTAATCTCTGCCTCTAGTCCTCTTGATGTGGCATCACTGCAGATCAGCCACGGGCATCAAGAGATGCAAATTGGGCCAAGAGGTCAAAGATGGAGAGGGACATTGCAAGAGCTGAAAGACGAGGGGAGTTAAGGAACATTGGTTGAGATTCTGCTTCTTTCCAGGTCACCTTAACTGTGCTGGGTAATCCGCACGCTAGAACAGACATGTCTTGGTTTCGGTCATTAAATTCTGAATAATTGTAGTTCCTAAATGTCATTGGTTAATAATGGTGGTGGTGGGGGGGAGGATGAGCAGCTGGCTGATGTGTGGAGGACAGAGTTTTATGCAGGAGATTGGAATACATCAGCTGGTCATGACAGCCCTAGAGTGAATGTTTTAGTACAACACACTAAAAAGCAAACTGAGCACTTGAACATTTCACTGAGGTGAAGCATTCTGATTTGATATTGTGCTTTCTCTCCCTCCTTACCTCTTTCCCTTTTAGGTATCCTCATGGGAGCAGTTATAAAAATTATAGAATTCCAGAAGCTGGCCAACTGGAAGGTACGGAGACACACACACACACACACACAATTTTTTTTGCCATGTCTGTTATGCATTTGATCAAGCAAAAGAGGTTGCTTTCATTGTTATGCATTTGATCAAGCAAAAGAGGTTTGCTAGCATTTGACTCTGCTTCCCCCGACTTAGCGCTTCCTGCCCTGATACAGGAAGAGTTTTCCACGATCGTACCACCGAAGTCTGGTTAGCCCTGCGGGCAGCTCCTTGGGGAATCAGAGTTTAAGAAATACAAGATTATCTGGAAAACCCTGAAGTGGGGGACATACTGCCCTCCCCAACAAACACTGGAACTGTAATGCTTGGAGCGGGGTGGCAGGCATGACTCACTTTCCTAGTTGTGGCCCCTTCCTTTGCATCTGGAAAACAATCTTGCTTTACCTGCCTTACGTGTCACAAGATGTGGAGCTGAGGAAGCAAAATTAATTTTCACCTAGCGTTACAGTATAGCTTGATGAGAGGCCCTGTTCATTCTAGCCATTCTGGGAATGTAGCTGTGAAAGCAACCTCTACCAGTGAGAAATAAAGAAGATTATACAAGGCCACGTCCTTAACTTAGCAGGGCTTTTCTTTTTCTTTCCAAGAAGCCGGGTCCTCTTCCACCTTTATTTCTTTTCTAGGAACAGCCAAACTTAGAATTCCCCAGCTGGAAACGACTGCAGCCCATAGGTTTTGAAACTGAACTCTGGAAATATTAGACAAATGAACGTCTCAATGCTGGCTTATCATATACTGCTTTAACTTGTAGTGGTGTTCCAAGGTCTCAGACTGAATGTTCTTACTTCTGCCAGAGAGCCATTGTAACTGGAGATGCTGAGGATTTAACCTGAAGCTTTCGTATGCTGAGCTGACTGCTGAGCTGAGGCCCCTCTAAAAGTAGAATATAAGAACATAAGAGAAGCCATGCTGGATCAGGCCGGTGGCCCATCCAGTCCAACACTCTGTGTCACACTGGCCGAAGACCAGGTGCCATCTGCTGGTCCACCAGTGGGTCCAGAACTCCAGAACCCCTCCCACTATTGCCCCCCAAGCACCAAGAGTACAGAGCATCACTGCCCCAGACATAGTGTTCCACCTGTACCTTGTGACTAACAGCCACTGATGGACCTCTGCTGCATATGTTTATCCAATCATGTCTTGAAGCTATCTGTGCTTGTGGCAGTGAATTTCACATGTTAATTACTCTTTGGGTGAAGAAGTACTTCCTTTTATCTGTTCTAAACCTTCTGCTCAACAATTTCATTGAGTACCCATGAGTTCTTGTATTGTGAGAAAGGGAGGAAAGTACTTCTTTCTCTACCTTCTCTATCCCATGCATAATTTTGTAAACCTTTATCATGTCAGTTGTTTCTCCAGGCTAAAGAGCCCTAACCTCTTTAATCCTAACCTCTTTTCCAGGCTAAAGATCCCTAACCTCTTTAACCTTTCTTCATAGAGATAGTGTTCCACCCCCTTAATCATTTTAGTTGCCCTTTTCTGCACTTTTCCCAATGCTATAATATCTTTTTTTTAGGTGCAGTGACCAAACCTGTACACAGTATTCCAAATGACACTGCACCATCGATTTATACAGGGGCATTATGATACTGGCTGATTTGTTTTCAATTCCCTTCCTAATAATCCCCAGCATAGTGAGAGTGAGAGCCAGCTTGGAGTAGTGGTTTAGAGTGGTGGACTCTAATCCGGAGAACTGGGTTCGATTTCCCACTTTCCCACTTGAAGCCAGCTGGGGGACGTTGGGCAAGTCACAGCACACTCAGTCTAAAAATAAGCATAGCTCACCACCTAGTGGTGCAAAAAAAAAAGAGCTACAGCTTCAGCAGCCAAACAGTCCTTCAGAATCTGCTGGCTATTCCACACACAGGGCCATATGATAATTTAATTTTTGCCAGCATAGCATTTGCCTTTTTTATTTCCATCACACAATGAGTTGTCATTTTCAGTGATTTATCTACCGCAGCTCCCAAGATCTCTCTTCTGGTTGGTTCGGACTTTGCATTTGGCCACATCGAACCCCATTTGCCGCGCTGACACCCACTTGCCCATTCTCAACAGATCCCTCTGGTGCGCCTCACAACTCTCCCTGGTTTTCACTGCCCTGAACAACTTAGTGTCATCCGCAAACTTAGCCACTTAACTGCTTACTCAACTCCAAATTATTAATGAACAAGTTAAAAAGCACCAGACCCAGTACCGAGCCCTGTGGTACTCCACTGCTTACCACCTTCCACTGTTTAAAATGTCCATTTATACTCATTCTCTGTTTCCTGTTAATTAACCAAGTTTTAATCCACAAGAGGACTTGTCCTCTTATCCCATGACTACTGAGTTTACTTAGGAGTCTTTGATGAGGAACTTTATCAAAAGCTTTCTAGAAGTCTAGGTAAACAATATGTATTGAATCACCCTTATCCACATGTTTGTTCACCCCCTCAAAGAACTCTAAAAGGTTAGTGAAACAAGATCTTCCCTTATAGAATCCTTATAGAATCCTCAATAGTTTTTGTTTATCAATGTGCATACTAATTCTGTCTTTAATAATGGATTCCACTAACTTACCCAGTTTCAATGTTAGACTGACTGGCCTGTAATTTCTGGATCTCCTCTGGAACCCTTTTTAAAAGATGGGGTTACGTTATCTACCTTCCAGTCGTCAGGAATAGAGGGAGACTTTAATGATAGTTTGCATATTTTTATCAGGAGATCTACAAGTTCACACTTGAGTTCTTTCAGAACTCTTGGATGTATGCCATCTGGGCCTGGTGATTTGTTCGTTTTTAATTTGTCCATCAGTCTTAGAACCTCCTCTCTTGTCACCTCAATCTGACTCAGGTCTTTCAATACTCCTCCTGAAATCGGCGGTTCTGGAGTGGGCAAACACCTTCAACAGTGAAGATAGAGGCAAAAAATGCATTCAGCTTCTCTGCCATTTCCCTATCTTCCTTTAGTAATCCTTGGCCATCCAAGGGCCCCACTGCCTCCCTGGCTGGTTTTCTGCTACTAATGTATTTGAAGAAATTTTTGTTTTTAGTTGAAGAAATTGTATATACTCTAGTTATCCAAGGTTTCCATCACAGGAGACCTGTAAAGAATAAATCAGTGTCTTTCTAGCTCTAGAAATATTTAGAACAGGAAAATGACACTAGGTTGGGAGATTTCCACTCATTCTCATTTCCTTTTCGTGAGAAATGGGATGAGAATAACTTCAGTAGATGTTCCTTTTTTGTTATGGAAGAATACAAATGCTAGAAACCTTAGATTTTTTCCTCAGCATTCGATTGTGTTCCCAATATTAAAGAAAGTTAACATCTGGTCTACCTCACAGGAAGCCTAACTTAAAAATAAAACGCCTTATTCAAGCCATTCCACAGATATTCAAAGGGCCCTGAGGCTAAGAAGGTTTGAGGATGAATGGGTATAGGCTCAGTGGTAGAGCGCTCACTTTTTATGCAGAAGGTCACAGGTTCAGTCGCCGGCATCTCCAGTTAAAAGGATCAAGTAGGTGATGTAAAAGGCCTCAGAGGTTCTAGAGAGCTACTGCCAGTGAGAGTAGACACTGTTGACCTTGACAGACCAATGATCTGATCCAGTATAAGGCAGTTGCAGATATCCAGTCGTTGCTTTTTCGTTGTCCTATACAGTCATATGAAGTTCTTCTGGGCTTTCCCAGACCAAAGCAGATTTTGCAGTACATCATCACTTTTTAAATTGTAGTTATTTCAGTCTATATCCCACCCTTCTCTAAAGGCTAGCAGCAAATGGAAACAAAATTAACTGCAAAAACGTTCAAAAGGATTGCTTACCTTTGTGCATGCTCTGTGAACCAGTCTGCCTCTTGGTGTGGCTGTCTCATTTGCAACCCACTGTCTATCTCGTCCAGTCAGGAGGAAGACACCCGGCTCTGAACTGGCAGCAGTTAGTTTTTTACACGGAGAAGCCACTCAAATCTTTACCAGTTGCCAAAGAACATTCAATGGCACGCAGCTTCTCAGTTTGGTGTAGTGGTTAGGTGCGCGGACTCTAATCTGGGAGAACCGGGTTTGATTCCCCACTCCTCCGCTGCTGGATGACCTTGGGCAAGCCATAGTTCCGGCACAGTTGTTCTTGAAAAAGAGCAGTTTCTGTCAGAGCTCTCTCAGCCCCACCTACCTCACAGGTTGTCTGTTGTGGGGAGGGGAAGGGAAAGGAGTTTGTAACCCACTCTGAGACTCCTTTGGGTAGTGAAGGGCGGGGTATAAATCCAATCTCTTCTTCTTCTCTTCAGTTATCCCCTGCCATCCACTTCAGCATCCTCCTCACAAGTCACTGTTTCCAATTCTGCACGATCGCATTGCCACATGGCAGCCAGAAAAAGTCAGACTCCCAGGGTCTTCATAGTAACCCTTCTCTCACAGCTTTTGTCCATCCACACTTGGTGCTCCCCGCTGCTGGGCATCTGCCAGGGATTACACGCTTTGCAGAGCCATCAGCTCTTGCTGATAAACACTGCTTGTTGCCAAAATTTGAGGATGCTGGTGGTGAGGGAGGAGGTGATGGCTGTGGTTTGTTGTGCCTGTCATTGCCTCTCAGACCTGCCCTGTCACTGTGCCATCCAGGTCAAAAAAGAGTTCCCATCAGCACGAATCAGGCAGGTGGTAGGCATCCATTGTCTCCTTGAGCTGTGCCCCTCCCACTAAACATGGGGTCCCTTACTGTCAGCCGTGCTTGACAGTAACAATAGCCAGATGATTTCAGCCACTGAGCCCCCATAACCCATTGTTTAGCGCTTGGTCTTATCCACAGAGGTTGCATAGCAACATCCAGTTACTTAGAGTTCCTTCTTAAGGAATCAGTACTGTAAGGTGGTTCTCCAGATTGCAAGGTGGGTCCAGTTCTTTGGAGAGAAGAAGAAGAAGAGAAGGGATTGGATTTATACCCCGCCCTTCACAACCCAAAGGTGTCTCAGAGCGGCTTACAAACTCCTTTCCCTTCACCTCCCCACAACAGACACCCTGAGAGAGCTCTTGACAGAAACTGCTCTTTTTCAATAACAGCCCTTATCAGAACTATGGCTCGCCCAAGGTCATCCAGCCAGGTGTAAGTGGAGGAGTGGGGAATCAAACCCGTTTCTCCCAGATTAGAGTCCGTGCACTTAACCACTACACCAAACTGGTTATCCATATTTCACAAGGTTAGTCTGCCACTGAAATAATGAATCAGCAACTGACTCTTGACAGATTACTGAATATATCAGTTTTCTTTAAGAAAGTCAGCACTCTGAAATTTTTCTGCAGTCCTGTGTAACTTCCAGCACAGATTTTGCGCTTCTCATTGTAAAACAGAGAAAAGCATGAAAAATTGACAAAATGATTTTGCTGAAACCAGCATGTAATATTAAAAGAAAGTCTTTATGTTTTGAAAGTCTAGTGAAGGACTGTTTGAAAGCCAATTTGTATGAGTCAGGTGCTTCTGCAGCACATTATGTTCAATTCCCGTTATTGCCAATAATTTTTAATACCTTAGCAATTATGTTAAAATCTGAAATTGCTTCTACAGAAAAAGTAGCTCTTGTGGTTGAATATTCTCTCTTGATCTAGAGGTCCAGGCATACTCTGTAGGGATTTGGAACTGTTTAGGGTGGGATGCTTATTAAGGGAAGCAGCAGAATAATATTCAAATTGCTTATCCCCGTCAGAAAGGCAGGCTAAAACTTTCCCTCTGTTATGACCCCAGAACTGCCCTTAGGGGGGCAGCCCCACACTTAACCAGTTGCAGTTCTGCATCTAGAAGGTGGGTTAGATCCAGCTATCCGCTTGTGCAAGCATCTTGGATCTTCTTGCTGTCCTTTCTGGTCCTGGGAAAGTTGATTCCTGTGGTTGTGGGACTCAGATGGAATAGCTTTGTTGACGGAAGAGGGAGAAAAGGTGGTTCCATAGACTTCTTCCTCATTACAGACCAGTGACCTCTGCGGCTATTATTCCATATGGCTTTTGCAAACCTGGGAATCAACTTTCCCAGGGTCTGAAAGGATTTGCAGGGAGGGGGGAGAAAACAGGGAGATCAGCTACCAGAAGTTTCTGCTACTGGATCTAAACTTACAATTCCATGTCCTGATCATTTTATTTCTGATTCTGAAAACTATTAACTATTGCTATTGTGGAAAGCTTTTTTAATGGGAAGACAGTATTATTCCGTGCTGCTTATCTGAATGCGGCAATTCACATAATGCTTTGGGGTTTTTTAGCTACTGGGTGAAAAGTGTTACGCCAACTGCTTTATCTACAGCAGAGGCTAACTAAATTTAACGTGCGTCCTGGCCAGCTATACCAAGGTCGTGTCTGAACCCAGAGTTCCAGTAATGGAGACCACACGGGTGTTTTTCCAAAACAAATAATCTTTTTACTGAACGATATTAACGTCACATACACACATAATAATCAGTCTCACTTTTCGCATACACTCAAGATTCCTTTAGAATTACAGAAATAGAAAGCAGTTTCTTTTACTTTAGGAGGTAGGCAGGAAAATCGGTTCATACTTGCCTGTTTCCAGAAGTCTTGTCTGTTGCAATGAAAAATAAAGGGATAGAGGATAGTGTCTAGAAGTTTACCTAAATCACACTGTTCCAGAACCAGCTGGTAAAGTGTGTGTGTGTGTGTATCTCCTTGGCTGCAGTCCGAAGAGATCCATAATAGACAGAAAGGATTGTTGCATAGCAAGAAAGGAATTCAAAGTATAAAGGAGTTGATGAGAAGAGAGGTGGCTAGCCTGAAGCATGGTCTTTGCGTTGGTGGTAGAATGTGGCTAGCCCAGGACCTAAAGCATGGTCTTTGCGTTTTATAGTTGAATCTCCAGGTGGGTGGCACCTTGCCAAACTGCAATCCCACCTACTTACAAGTCCATCCCATGACCTCCCTGATTGGTGTATGTAGAAGAGGGGCAGGTATTCTATGGGTGGGACGATATTTGAAACTCTACACTCTATCTCATGGAATACAATCTGGCCAGGTGTGAAGTCTCGGCTTCAGGACATCTCTTTGTTGTGCAGATGACTCTTGGCTTTACCAGGCATACAGGGCACCATCAACAGGAAACTGCAATTCAAATGCAGATCAGGTCCATGTTCTGTGTGACAGCTCGTCTCTTCAGCAATGGGGGAATTTCTCCTTCTTGGTTGTTTTCTCTGCTCACAATGGCTAACATGTGCTTCTTCTTCCCATGAGCCTTTGAGCTGAATGTGTGCAAGCTACATTAACACAAAATGCAGGCAAGTGTTCCCTATGTGAAGGCTCTCACAGTAGGTGATGCAAACAGCTTCCTTTGGCCCATGGTATACAGATGTGTGCACAGTCCATGTGTTGCGTGTGTAAGCAGATATAAAACCATAAATTAGTCCATTTCTCAACAAAAGCAATTTAAAAAGCAATCCCAAGGATGTTTGCTATCTTAAAATCCTCTTTATTTGTGGTGGGGAATGAGGCAGATTAATATAAAATTCATTTCCTAGTGATTTTTTTTTGTTTGACATATCCGTTAGGTAGACATTCTAAAGTGCTTGTTTTTGATTTTGTTTGCTTTGTTCGTGATGTGATATCATTTCTCTTACCGCACATTTCCTAATCCTTTCTTCATCTTTTTGTTATATTTTTCAGGAAGAAGAAATGTTTCGTCCTAATATGTTTTTTCTTCTTTTACTTCCCCCGATTATATTTGAATCTGGGTATTCATTACATAAGGTAAGATGCTGTGAATCCTATTTGGTGGATGTGTGCTAGTGAGTGAACTGACTCCTATACTACTGCAGATTGAGTGAAACTGTGGAACTGATTTGGCAGCTTTCTGTCATCCCATGGTAGCTTCTTAAGTAGGGTTGCCAGTTTTGGGTTGGGATATTCCTGGAGATTTGGGGGTGGAGTCTGAGGAGGACAGGGTTTTTTTGGGGGGGGGACCTCAGCTGGAAATAATGCCATAGAGTCCACCTTCCAAAAGTCTCATAGTGTTGGGTCCGGGCTCCTGCAAACAGAGTGAATCCAGAGAAGCAGATCTTTTTTCATCTCCTTTCCCCATCCGATTACAACATTAGAAAAAACTAACAAGAAATACAATAAACCTATCTAGAATGCTTTTACAGATACTGAAACGGCAATATGGTAAAATGTTTTTCTAAACAATTCTGGAATTATTGCTGGAAGAAACAAATGATTTCATAAACTAGCCCGACCTGGGGCTTGGATTAAAGAGGCCTGGTAAACCCTAACCCTAACTGAAAATACTCCAGAAGGGATGAAATGTTGAGAACTGAGTGTGAGGAAAGTGGGTGGAGGGATTGGCCTGTTTTAGTTTCTGAGACTAGAGAACCCTGAAAGGGGAGATTTTGATGGTGGGATGGGATTCCCAAATATTCTATCTCCCCCTCCCCCCGGGTGATTCTTTGTAGGCTCCAGGCTGTTGATGTATCTCATAATAAAGTGGCTGGCTCCTGATATGATAATAAAAGCGGCAAGATCAGGCTACCCACAGACAAGGTCTGATGAGGACTAATCAGGGCCCAGAAGGGATGAAATGTTGAGAGTAGCTGAACCAGAAGTTCTGGACCGGGCATTACAAGCTGTGGCTGGATGGCTTAGACTGAGCCGGCTGAAACTGAATCTGACGAAGACAAAGTCTATTTTAGATCAGGTAAATCGCATGTTAAGGGGAATTAATCCCCTCACTAAGTTGTTTAAGAATGTGTACACCTCACTTTCTTTAGCTAGAGACTGAAGGTATTTACTAGTTCCAAATCTAATAAAAAACTTCACCTCAGGACCAAACTACTACAGTCAGAGTGTCCCCCACTTCGATCTGTATGGCCTCATTCTCTCCCTACCCAAAACTGTCTGGTAAAGCCATTTAAGCATCTGGAGTTCCAGTCTTGGAATACCAACATCACGTGTAGTTTAGCTGTCACATGCAAAGTAGTAGTACTGTAATAAAAATACTTCTAATGGCATTAAAAAAAAAGATGGATTTTCTTGAGACAGCTCGGGAAAGGACGTGTGTGTATACTTTTAGCCAGTTTGGTGTAGTGGTTAAGTGCGCAGACTCTAATCTGGGAGAACCAGGTTTGATTTCCCACTCCTCCACTTGCACCTGGCTGGATGACCTTGGGCAAGCCGTTGTTCTGATAAGAGCTGTTCTTGAAAAAGAGCCGTTTCTGTCAAGAGCTCTCTCTCAACCTTACCTACCTCACAGGGTGTCTGTTGTGGGGAGGGGAAGGGAAAGGAGTTTGTAAGCCGCTCTGAGGCACCTTTGGGTAGTGAAGGGCAGGGTATAAATCCAATCTCCTCTTCTTCTTAAATCCATCTAAACTTTTAATTCCAAGATTAATATTGGATAGACCCTGCAGTTTCACCATACAGCAAATGTTAATAGTTAATACTGAGCTTAGTAGGAACTGGATTCTTCATAAGCAGACCAGGAATTGGATTAGTTTAATCTGTTTTTAATTAATGACAATAAAATAATCTATATGGAATGAAGGAGACAAACTCATTCCGGGGGGAGAAAAATGTTACAGCGTGTTACCTGAAAAACAAAATGCACAGTGCAAATTATTTCAGACTATCGGTCCCATGTTATTGTGAGAGTGGAGAATTAAATGATCAGAACAAAGGGGTTCTGAGTTTAGGCTGCCTGGCTGAGTGTCACAAAAAGACTGTCCAGCATCTGCTGTGCTCAGTGGTTCTCTGTTGTTGTTTTTTATGTGGTGGGGGGAGTGGAATACAGACTTCTCTTGCAGACTCCGCCTGAGAGCCTTTCCACAGGGATAGGAATGTGGGAAAGAGAGTTCTTGGTTTCTGTTCAGATGTTCCCCACCACCACAAAAATGTTTAACAGCTAATTGTGTTAATTTGAGAGGGGGAGATGCTGAGATTTGTCTTGTCTTTACCGGGTTAGACAGGGAGGGTGGTACACCCATGCGCCAATGTGTGATGCCATCACCTATGCAGGTCCTTAAGCAAAAACTTCCCTCTAGTTCAGCATAGAGAGTACTATGCCAGACTGATCAATGGTCAGTTTCATATGTTCTTATGAAAGAAAGCAGGAAAGGGAAGGGGAGGCAGAGATGAGGGGTGTCAAGGACAAAAGCCATTCTCCCCCCTCCCCTATTTTTGGGGGGGGGGGAATGGAAATTTGGGGGGAAATTGAAATATATGCAATACTTCCTTATTGAGCCTAAACTTATGTTTACTGCTTTAACAGCATAAAATAAATAATTTATAACTTAGTACAATTGTATTTTTAATGAAAAATTCAAAGTATAAATATAAATGCATTGGTTTTCCATAAGCATAGTTGCACAAATGTCTAGTATAGCAAGAAAGGGAACTGCAGATTGTTGCACCTCAGGTACCTTAACACATATCTCAGTTTTTTGGCATCTGAGAAGTAGGAAAAAATTAAAAAAATTGAGACTAAGAAACATAGATTTTGTAGTAAAGAAAAGAAAGTGTGTTATTGGGATAAAAACTCTGATGATCGTTAAAACGCTATTGAGTTAGTTATAGAAAATACTAAACTTTTATAGCATATTAATAGTGTATAAAACTAGTCATATTTGAGCAAAAATATGTCCTTGAAATATACTTTATGTGGCTGCAGAATACACAGGAGTTATTATCTGACACCATGGAATACTTTATATAAAATCTTAATACTACATATTCAGAGTAAGTAAACCTTGTCTTAAAAAGAATGTCACTCATTCCAAAAAAAGAAAAAAAATTGTAGGGTTTTTTGCCCCAGTGCTCCCCAAAATTTCCAAGTTCCAAGTTGGTCTGTTCCCCCCTGGGCCTTTATATCTCTAAATGAAGTATATAGAGGAATGAATATTGAAAAATGTGTTTCCTCATTGGTAGGAAAATGTATTCTGCAGTTCTCAAATTCATTGCACTTTGTTATTACTTCTATGTGTTTAGAAGCTATCCTTCTGCTGAAAACTGGTTCTGCATGATCTAGGAGTCCAGATGATACCTAGATCACATTAAGTTCTGTCTAAACTGGGCTTTTCCCCTTTGTATTTTCAGGGGAACTTCTTTCAGAATATAGGCTCCATCACTCTGTTTTCTGTGATTGGAACAGCAATTTCAGCTTTCATTGTTGGAGGAGGAATATACTTCCTGGGTCAGGTGAGAGCTCCTGTATATATTGTCTACAATACTATACTCCTACTGAAGGTCAGGTTCTGTTCTTCCAAATTCATGCAGGGGTATAGTGAAGAACACAGGAAGAAGCAAGTCTTTGTGGTGTTGGAATGGTTGTACATGCTGGTGTACATGGAGGTAAGTCTTTTACATGCAGTTGGCCAACCAGCTTCAAGAACCTCTGTCAGCATTGTGTCAGGCTATCCTGGGGACTTGCATTTTTGGCTGTAATCATTTTTCTCTGTGATTATTTTCAAGATGCAAGTAGGACAAATCAGCGTTAGAACCAGCTGTTATAAATGACTCCATGCTATAGTGAGTCTTGTCAAGTTTGCATGACTCTGGGCCACGTTGAAGGACATGGAGGCCATATGCTAAACCCTATTCTCAAGGATGCCGTTCAGTTTCCTCAATCATCATTCAGGAATTGAAGCTAACTTTACACTCTTTGGGTATTCCCAGCATCTTGAGCTACACTTTAGTGTTCTGCTTCTCACAGTTGCCAGTATGTCATCTGTTTCTGCACAGGGAATACAGTAACTATTTCCTTCTCTTACGATGCAGAGGCCTAGCTGTTACACTTTGAGCTACAGAGAATTGTAATAAACCTCTATGCAAGGAGAAGAAAGGCAGAGTTTACACTAGGGAACTCCCAGGTAATTAATTAAACCCCAGCAGAGATTAAGTCTTCACCAGAGTCATATTATGAAATGCTGAGGCTCTTAAGCTACATCATGCTGTTTCTACATGGATGTTTTGCTCTGCCTTGGCTTACAGAGCATTGTTTTCAGGGGCATCCACATATCATGGTCCCATCTCCCCTCCTCTACTGGAGGCCTTTTTAAAAACATTTAATTAGTAGATTGCCATACTGTTGTGCAATTTAGTGTCACAGTCTACTAGTTCACTTCCTAACTTTTAAAAAAAGTAAGTATCCAGCCCTTTTTGTTGAAGAGTTATAAGGGGAAAGGTGCAGCAGTGGGGCTGCAACAATTCTGCAGCAATGGGGCTTGAGACATTTTTTTTAAAAAAAGAGAAAGCCAGGATCTAGTAGATTATGGCAATAAATCAAGAAACGCTGAATCACCATAGTGTTATAATGGTGATCCAGCAATTCCTAATATTTTTTTTTAAAGCACTCTGGTAGAAGGATGGTGGAAGCAAAAAAAGTGTGGAGAAAACAGCTGTCTGGGTACTCTGTTGCCACGCAAATGCCTCCGCATCCATAGCAGCAACAAAAGCTTGTATCTGGAAGCAGCATCAGTTTAAGAGACCCGTAGTCAAGAAAGAAATACTTTGTTCTTATTATCGCAGAAAAGTCGGATTCGACTGGCTTTCGAGCAAGGGAACCTTTACCTTTACCATATTATGAGGTCCATATTTACCTTTACCTTTACCATATTATGTGGTTTACCGAGTTTACCCCTAAATCTGGCCATGATCTTTACCTGGAGTAATAGTTAATTTTGTTGTGCCAAGACATCCGTCTCCCCAGATGTCACTTGTATAGACTCCAAAAGGGAGGTTACAAGGGAGTTGCCCAGCTCTTTGTACAAGGAAGCCATCGCAGGCCAACTTTTTGTATTGTGTCCACCCTTCCGCAGTGTTCCTCAGAGCCTTCTGTCCTTCAAGAGCAGAATTTGGGGGATTTTAGTGGGCTGCAGTGGGGAAAAGGCATCAGTGGAAGTCATTCAAACACTCCTCCTGTGGATGGAATTGAGTTGCGTTGGCAGAAAATGACCTATGGATTCATTCATGAGTCCTTTTTCTTCTTCTTTAAAGTTACTATTTTATTTAGATATGGTCTTCTTGGACTAGCTGTGAGCTAATGAT